GGAGAAAGGGAACGTCAATGGGGGTGTAGTCTATTAGAAAGCAAAAAGACATGAGCCGCGTCACGACAAAACCAACATAATGGGTTTGCGACCAGCATGGATCCAGACCAGTCTGCGCATCCGCGCAGTCTGATCAGGATCCATGTTGTTCGCTTAAAACCCCTATAACAAGAAGAGAAACTGATAGCGAACAGCATGGATTCTGATCAGACTGCGCGGATGCGCAGGCTGGTCTGGATCCATGCTGGTCGCAAACCCATTATGTTGGTTTTGTCGTGACGCGGCTCATATTGCTTTTGTATGTTTTAGAACAAACCAAGGACGTGCTACTGGGTTCATCAAAAAGAGAACTTGTTAGTCTTGATGATTTATTTCAAACAAACCTCTCAAACAATAGTGAACTTGAATACAAGGATAGTTTGTGCAGTTCGAATGTGCAGTTTCTTGATGCTACAATTCCAATTGTTTTTCATATACATCGTAACATGAATACAATATACATGTATGTTTATTTCACTAACTATTTACAATTGTTGAATAGTGTAATGTAAAACCTCTTGTTGGCGTTTATGTTTCTTTTTATAATTTTTTTTTATAAAATCATAAAGGACAACTACTTCACTGAAAAGAAAACACATGTCGATTTAGAGAGTTTTCTAAAGAGGTAATTTTATAGTTCATGGAATCAGAGCAAGGAAAACTCCTCCCCATTCCTTGTATCCATTTTCGAATGCTATAACCATGTACGCATTTAAGTACATGTATGGTATAGTTAATTGTTCATTAAATGAAACTGCTTTTCATCATACCAGTCACTAATTGCCAATGCCCAGAGAACAGAAAACTCATCGTAAGGAATCAAAATTTTTGCGTTTCGAACCAATTATCACGCGTACAGTAAGAAATATAGAAATATTGTAGATATATGCGAAATAGTTAAAAAGTGTGCATTTAGTTTTGCTAGTAAACATGTTGGTGTTATAAATAATAACGAATCAAATATTATCTCAATACATTTCATTTTGTATTCTTTTTAAAATACCTTAATAACTTTCTTCTTACTATGAAATATTTTCTATTACTTTGACCACCGGAATAAACAATTGTACCTTCTGCTCTGCATACAATAGCTTGTTTGATTTGAAACAAACCGACTTTTACCCATATTACGCTTAAAAAGTAACGAACCTTTATACGTTCAAGAAAAGGAATTAAGCACATATAAGATTTTCTACAGAAAGTGGAAGGCTGCCAACATAAGGCCGCTAGACTTATGGTGTAAACAGTGAAAGTCTTGCCTGATGTAAAAGAAACAATTATATTTATCAAGACGTCTATTACAATATCGATAAAACATTCTTACAATCAAGTAATATAATCTCTAACAACATTAATAAAGTTTTTTAGATTTTTTATACGTATTTGAATACATCAGGTTCTGTACTGTACATCGGGGCAGATAAATAAAAGTTAACGTGAAACTCATTTTCTCATTTTTATGAATTACATTTATTACATGCTTTTCGGTGGTTTATAGAAATATATAAGTGAAACAAAAACTGATAATTTCACTGTTTTAAATTGTACATTGCAATTATCATCATCAACAACAACAACAACAACAATACATTTTATTAATTTGACCAGTTACAGATCATCATCATAAAAATTACATTGACATACATGTATACGTGAAAGTAGAAGTGTAAAATAAAAAAATAAAATAAAAATTACAATCGCAACTGTTCCGCCCTTTCCGTCAGTCTTTGGATAAGTGCCTCGAACGAAATAGTATGAATACACAGATCGTAAACGGTATTTCGGTCTAACCTACACTGAGAAACTAAACATGTAAACAAATTGTAATTTAATGCTGTGAGTTGTTGACCAGTTTTTATCCAAGTAAATATTGACCTTAAATAATTCAAACCGTAGATACAATAGTAAACAATACATTATTTATAGTAATAGTAGTTTATTCTTTTATTCCATTCGGCAATATGCCCATGATCAGAGCTGCATTACTGGTACTGGTACTGGTACTGCAGTATGTACTGCAGCGATTTTGCAAGTACTGGTACTGATACTGAATTACTCTAACAAAATTTTGCTACTACTGGTACTGGTACTGCATTACTGTCTTAAAAAGTGGTACTGCTACTGCATTACCCAGTACTTTTGGTTTTGATAAAATTTAAAAATAACATCAATTTTTCTCATAAAATAAAGCTGTAAATTACATTAACTATATTTTTTTTGTGTGAAAAAGTAAGTTATCAAACCTAAAGATAATTTGCTGCAATATTCCTTCAAATGTTAACATAGTATTCATCATAAAAAGCACCAAAGACCTTAAGTAAAAATTAAATTAAGATAAACAGACTCAATAACTCTTTACCCTAAAATATCCTTATTAAAATCTTTTATTACTTTGTATTTACTAGTAAAAGAGCAAAATAAACACTAATTAATTTCTTCTATTCTAAAAAATCCCATTTGAAGTAAAAAAAGTGATATTGTTAGCACCATAAAAAGTTGTTATTTACTTTGATATAAATTGAACAGAGGTGTGAAGGTGTGAAAGGCAACAAAAGACTGTTGTGTTTTAAATGAAAGATGTTTGCATTGTATTTATACGAATGTAGGACAAAACCCCACCAGTTAAAACCCCACCACTCAAAATTTTATAGAGTGGACAAAACCCCACCACTAAATATTATAGAGTGGACAAAACCCCACCACTTAATTTTACAGAGTGGACAAAACCCCACCACTTCAGTTTTATAGAGTGGACAAAACTATCTTGTAAACATGTTAAAAAAACTAACAATTGTGCATCAGCAAAACTCAAAAGAATGTGTTAACAACTCATCAATAAGGAGAAGACCGTACCCGAGTTTCTATATGCTATCAGCCACAGTATCCACTTAAACTAAGTACAATGAAGTACAATGAAGGAAAATTGACTGAACTGAATAAATTAAAAAATGTGCTATAAAAATGTGCAATTTTTTAATCATTAATTGATGAAAATGTGCTTCATTCTTGATTAATAGTAAGTAGTTTATTTTTTATATAAATAAATTGAAGAAATGAATTTGAAGAAACTAAAAATAATGGATAATTCAAGGTCATAAATGTGGCACAGTCTCGAATAAATGACTGCTCTTTGATGTTGATTTAACAGTTTGTAAATTATTTGTATAATCTCTTAAATTTGAAATTAAAAAATAAAATGTGAAGATGTGTACTGTATATTATATATATTTTAATTCATCAAATCTTGCCCAATAATGGGTAAGTGGTGGGGTTTTGTCCACTCTGTAAAATTTAGTGGTGGTGTTTTGTCCACTCTATAAAATTTTGAGTGGTGGGGTTTTAACTGGTGGGGTTTTGTCCGTCTTCCTATTTATACAGTTGACTGGTTACTAAACAATTAGATATGACATGAATATATGTTGTAAATAGTGATATAAATGAAGTATATGCTCGCCCATATGGTCTCTTTCCGGTGGCGAGGGTAAACAAACCCAAACACACACACACACACAGAGTAAATATTGTTTGTAAAATAAACTTTTCGTATTCGTTTGTAAAAAGTATGTTAAAACTATAAAGTTGTAAATATGTTATGTTAACTTTAAAGCACCACGCCTCCAGATTCATCCTAATTTTCATGAAAATTTTAAAAATGTATTTAAAGGTAAAATATTGTTAAATGAACAAAAAAAGTACTTGTCACATTACAATCAGCACTTAAAATCTCGTAAATTACCAAAAAGTGGTCAAAACATGCATAAATAGCCCCTACTGCCTTAGTAACGCAGTAGAAATATGGTGATAAAATACTACAAAAATACAGTCATTAATTGCACATCACTTGAATCTTTAATTTGTTTTACTTTTCTCAAAGTTTTAGTAATTTTTTTTCCAAGTTTAATTTTCTTGAAATAGTTTGGGTCATCTGGAGGCATGCAGCTTTAAAGTAAATTATGATTTTATTTCTTTGCTGAATAATATTTGCAATTATTTGTTTGACACTGTATTTATTCAAACTTTGGATGAATATATAAAAGTAATGGTACTGATACTTAATTACTTCACCAAAAAAAGTACTGGTACTGCAGTACGAGCTAAAATCTAGTACTGGTACTGGTAATGGTACTGCATAATTTGCCAAGTACTGGTACTGGTACTTAAGTACTACACCCTTAGTACTGATGCAGCTCTGCGGCCATGATGGCATTATACACAAGCATGTTATAAATGGCGAACAATGACAAGCAAAAATGTACCTGACACATCAATAATTGGAGAAGTTCGAACATGGATAATACTAACAAACAAGCACATATATATACATACATAAAAGACTTACGTACGGATACAATGCGCAGATCATATTGATATCCTCATATAATTATATTTGATAAAATAAATCCATTGCAGTCATTATGTCGATAACGATCTCTATATCGAGCTATTGGTCTTGGTGAGACGAAATTCAAGACCAATATTATGGATATATCGTAAGTATTTCATAAGTATTACACTTTAATGCTTCCATTAAAGTAATGATACTACACATTTAATAAGAATTTAATCTTAAAATAGATCGAGAGTTGAGGAAAAAAAGAACATAATCCACGCATAACCTTTCAGTACAACACATTATTTCGCTTTTCAAAAACACATATACATAAATTCCAAGTTTCCTAACAATTTTCACACTATTGTAAACATTTCAACAAATTTAATCATGTTTAGATGCTTCCAATATCTGTTTTATGTATATATATTTTCATTAAATTAGTGTACAGTGAAAATTAAAGAATAACATATAGCACAGTTTCTTCCATCGATTGGTGTTCTTAATGCCCTAGTCAGAGTGTAGGACAAAAGCCCTCCCGGACAAAAGCCCTCCCGTCCAAAATTGACAAGGCGGACAAAAGCCCTTGTTTTGGAAGGGAGGGCTTTTGTCCGGGAGGATTTTTGTCCGTTTCCCCCCTAGCCCATCTATCTGCCTCTATTTGCAATCTGTGAGAAGACACTCATAATCTTATTAATGAAAAACAAAATTTATTAAATGTTATGTGACCTAGATATTTTTGAAACTTGAAAACTGCTATATTTTTTTATAAAATAATGCTCGTGGTGAACTTTGTATCCTATCATGCCAGCTTTGAACAAAATTATCTTTCAATCTTTGCTTTACTAATTCTAGAAATATCTCTGCATTTTCCACAGTGTGCTGTTACCAAACTTCATAAAAGCCTAAAACACATAATACATTTTCAATCGTGAAAACCAATTAACTCTGAATGGATTATTTTCGAAATCATTCTTAGTCAATTGATATATCTTATACATGTAACTATTTTCGTTACTTCTTAGATTTTTTATCCAGTGTTTAATGATATTAAACAGGTGTCTACACTGAAAAGATATTCTTCCAAGTTCGTGTCGTTTCGGTTTGTTAACAACTAAAACTTTTTTACAAAACTACAAATGTGTTCTTTCTATTGACTGGCTTACTAAAACCCATAACTTCAGAGAAACTCCTTAAACTGTCCACAGCGCCTCGATCTATCCATTCTCTCAAGTAATGGACAGTTTTCGGAGTTTCTCAATAAAGTATGGGGTTTACTCACGGCAAGGCCGTACAATGCTTACATATGAAATTATGCAAAAGACTATAAGGAGTAAAGAAAAACACACAAAACGACTTTATTTATGGTGAATTAGGAAGAATGCCTTAAAATATGAGACATCATAACATTTTAGAATTTTGGATAAAATTGTTGGCTACAAATGAAAACAAATATATTAAGGTGTACTTAATGTTGAAACAAGATATAATTGAAAATCCAAACAGAATAACTTGGTGTTTATTATTGAAAGATTTATTATGTACTATTGGTTTTTATGAAGTGTGGTAATTTCAGACACTTGGAGACTCTGAACTATTTTTGTATAATATGAAACAAAGATTAAAGGGTCAGTTTTTATAAAACTGGTCAAATAGACAAAATAATTCCAGTAGAGCTATTATACTAACATTTTCAACAGTATGTTTATTTTATAGACTTTAGATAATTCTGTGTTTGTTCATTATGTTTAAGCTTATCATCACATAGACTTTTCATTGAAAGTGGCAGCCGATGGACTAGACCTGCAAGCTATCCAGTAAAAGAACAACGTGTATGTATTTATGCTTATTTATGTATGTATGTATGTATATACCTTGAATCTTATTATATTTGTTCATTTCATTTATACATTTTGTACAGTTATGTCATACACTTCAATACGCATTACTTCAATTTTTTTATCAAAAATATTAAAGGCTTTACCAACAAATCTGAACATTACATATCTGCATTCTTTTAACCTCCAGGCGTACAGTACTGGGTTCACAGTGCACATTATAAGCATGAAAAGTGCTGATATTCTTGTGTTCCCTGAATTGTTTTCTGTGAAGGCATTAACACAAACTGAGATAAATAGAGGATTGTGCACTAACTGAAATACCACGATAATGCACGTGATATTTCTTGTTGAAACAAAATGTTTGTCAGTAGATTGGCTTCCGGTTATGTGCAAGCTTTCTATTACTTTCATCAGTTTCTTTACTACACGAAAGATGGCGATGTAACATACAGTGTTGATAAATAAGCAGGCACCAAGAAAACAGATAATTAACTCACTGTTTTTAGTTGCTTGTATGAAATTGAATTCGTCGTCCATTATAAGAGGAATAAGTAAATAACGCACGGATAACTTGATGCAAAGTGTCAAACATATACCCACGATAACTACCTTTGTAATAGTTCGTTTATTTGCTATTCTTGTATATAGGTTAGGGTGATATAGGCACATGACACGTTCAAGCGACAAAATGGTCACTGATGTCCAAGACACTACTGTCACAATCCGTACAAGTTCAGTTAAAATTGCCCAACTAATTGGCTTAGTAAATCCAGCTCCATGTGCTATCATACATATGACAAGAAACAATGAATTGCAAATCAATGTGATACTTATCAAAAGTTTAGGAGCAAACGGGATACGTTTTGTTGATATGATTGACACAATCGTGAAAACGTCACACATTAATATAACTAAGACTAAGCACATCACATATTTTGATATATCAGTGGCGGGACAGAATATATCTATCTTCTCTCTCGGATCGGCGTTTAAGATTCGTTCAAAAGAAACATCGGAAATATCTGGGACTGTTGCATTTTCCACATAATCCATTTTTATCTAAATTCCTTTCATAAAACAAAAAGTCAATATCCAGTAAAATATCATTTATTTCTCCAGCATAGTCCAAAAAAAGGTTTGTTCTCAGAAATTGTAAATTAACACACATGATTCAAGGCCGTTTTGTCTTCTATGGTAGTTCAGATAATTTGTTGTATAATATTGATTTAATATTGGGTTTTCTTAAATTAGATAATATCATTCTGTTGTTGTTACTCATTATTTAATTATCGGGCGCAAATTCTTTGCTTGTGTGAAAAACACGTACGGTTTCCTTATACGTGTCACAATCATTGTCTTACGTCACAGAAGGTCTTAGTTAAAGGTCGATTTTCAGTAGCAATAATGTTATATAAAACATATTGACACAAAGAAAATCATAGTGATTAGGTAACCTAACATAAATTTAATTAAGCATTAAACATATTATACAATGTTTATAGCCAACATGGAGAATAATGGTAAATAATTAACATGTTTTCCAGAAGAACTTAGATTTCTAATTCTTACGTAAAGTATAAAGCCAAAACATTTTGTATTTAATATAAAGTATACTGATTACGCATTTTTCAGAAGAAAGAAATATTTAAATTTTAAGTAAAACTGTTAAAATCAATGTTTATCCGTTATACACATGGAATATATTGTCATAACAAGGACAGAACAATAAAGTTTACTGATAACAGCGTTTTTAGGGGAAAAACAAATATCACTTTAATATGCTGGTATACAGTGCATGTATGTGGAAATAAACAAAGACTAATTTTGTACATAGGATAACATACTAGTGTATGGTTTACACAATTCTTTTCTTATTTGCAAAATATAAGTATTTAGCAAGGTTACAGTTATTCCTTGTATAGGTAAGAGTGCATATTGGGTGTTCTTCGTAAATAAGAAAGCTAAAAAGGAGCGGAGTTTGCGTATTTATTATGTTCATATACATATCATCTTCGGACAAATGGCAGTATATTGTCAAAAATAAATGTAAAATTAATAAAAACACCATACTTTCGGTTTTGCAGCGGCACGGGCTGTAATATTTAAATAAAAAGTAAGAAATATTACATACATACTTTGTTGGAATAAGTGAACTTTTTATTTGGAAATTATAAAAAGATACTGGGTCCGTAATTGATAAAACATTTTTACTGTTATTTTGCCTGTTTTCATTTCAATGAACCTCTTTTTTTAATTCTATGCCGTAGTGACGATATACATGTGCGTGTACGGAAAAAACATGATGCATAAATATTGATTAGTAGGAGTAAACTTCAAGATCTCTGCACATGCGTATATTTCACTTTAGCGCTCTTCGAAACTTAGCTCCGCCCACTTGCGTTTTATAATATAAAACGTCCAGTTTATATAAAATCTGTTCTATTAAGATTTGAAACCTGAAAATTTGAAAAATCCTCGTCGGTGATTGGCTTAAAAAAATTGGCGAGCATTAATGTCCGTTAATTCTAATTAGTGCTCGCCAATTGTTTTAAGCCAATCACCGACGATGATTTTTCAAATTTTCAGGTTACAAATCTTAATAGAACAGATTTTATATAAACTGGGCGTTTTATATTATAAAACGCAAGTGGGCGGAGCACTAAGCCGGTTAGAGTGCATATTGGATGTTTTTCGTAAATAAGAAAGCTACAGTCGCTTCGCAAGCTCCGCTCCTTGTTAGCTTTCTTATTTACGAAGAACACCCAATATACACTCTAACCTATACTTGGCGAGCACTAATTAGAATTAACGGACATTAACTTTAATTTATTGATTGATGGCCAATGATGATAGTACGGTTTTAGATAGTTATTTAATTCTTGCGAGGAGGAAATGAAATTCTGTTTCCGGTTGACGCATATTGCACGATTTGCAGATTCTTTGTTCATGAGGAATGTTATGATATCTTCGGGTTTCGATAAATAACTCATGTGCTGAAGCTCTAAATCTTGACATCGCGATTTTATATTTATTTTCCGTTATGACATTCAAGTAATTTTCTATCTCGAATTTATATTTGAATATACAATAATATTTCTAACGACTAGAGTTATTTATATCGGAGTACCAAAATTGTAGATATACTATAGTATATCGAAAAGCCGTTGTTTAATCATGTTAAACGGTATGTCAATTTCGAATTATTAATTTCATATATACATTAGCCCAATCTCAGTCAGTAATGTTTTAATGTGGGAGGCCCAGTTATTATTTCGGTACGTATATCCCCGGTCTGTATCGGGTTTTTAAAACAAATACGTTTTCTTTATTAAAGATAAATCATTTTGTTTCAAGATTTTTATCCAGTATTTGATCATATTTATTTTTCTGTATATATGAAGTGGAAATCGCCCTAGTTCACCATACTCGTCTGTGTATAAGTTCGATGTCAGCTGCCTAATGCATATCCCCATATTTCGTAATTTAGTATGGAATCAACCAATGGGTTAAACAATATACATTTCTGTGCGACCGTTATTTCTATATTTTTAAAGATTAAAATAAGTTTATGCAGCGCCACAAGATGCGTGTTGTGCTACACATTTTTGTGTTCGGTGCCAATTACCGTTTTTGAACAAAGTGATGCCCAAGTATATATAATAACTAGTTCCTGATTCCTTATTCAAATCTAAAAAAGAAACAGCAGAAATAGTATGTATTTAAAATAAAATTATCAGAAAACTAGAACGGTTCTTTCTTTATCAAATCTGTTGAAAATTGCACAAATCAATCAACAAAATCATAGAATAAAGTAACTGCATCGACCTATTTTTAAACAATATTCAAATCGAACGAGGATTAATGAACCCGTTCCTTATACCTCATTTAAATCATTGCATAAAGCATCTGTATAAACATATTTTGAAAATATGTTAAAGTCGAATTAGGAATAAGGAACCTTATTCTTATGACAACATAGGCAAACATCAACATTAGAATATATAACAGATATACAGAGTACACAGTACATCTTCTATACGAAATGAATAACGTTATAAATTATCATGTAAGCTGTAGAAGAATTGATATGCTAAATAAGATTTTGTCCACGAAGATCATTTGAATATCAACAATTACATCAGTCATATTAAAATTCAATTGACAAAATTAATGAGCTACAGAGAAGTATAAATGCAGGAATTTTACTGACATATATATATATATATACATCTTTATTGCCTCCGAATGTTCGAAGATATACATATTACATAACACAGTCAATGAAAAGAAACAACATTAAGCAAAGAAAAGCATCATAATTATACAAAAAAGAACAATTTCAAAGATGTAAAATTATATATATTACATAAGACAATATTTGAAGAGAAGTGACGTTAATCATATCAGCACATCATATTAGTGCAAGAAGATACAAAACTAACATCTTACTGAAGAATAGCACATTCAGCTGCAAACATACATGTATTCAACATTTATATGCTTTCACGTGTTTTTCGTTTTAAGTTACCATGTACATAACGTTTGGACTATACCATGACGAAGAAGGAAGCTAATTGACATTTAAAGCAAACCATACACATAGAAATGTTAAGAAATGCATAAAATGGTAGAAGTTCCTTTAGCTTTTGCAAGACATTATTTAACATTTTTTAAACATTGTAAAATGCGAAATCGAAATTTTAACAAATATAAATGAAATAGTGACTTTCTTAGCATTCCTTTTACATTTCTTTCTTGTCTATGTAATAAAATTCATTCAAATAATTACTTTATTTGT